ATTAATGCATAATATACATTTATTAAACAGAATAATAATAACTATAACAATAACAACCATAACAACAATAACAATAATGATCAGTATACTGTCTTCATATCTTGGACAGGATCAACGACAATGGAGGAACTTCGTGGTTTATTTGATACCGATGATGTATGTTTAATAAAACATTTTTTGTTGTTGTAATTTTGATACAAAAATGTCAAATTTCATATATAAAACAATCTAAACAATCTAATAACTTATATCCAATATTTCAAATTCCTTATTATTATAATAATAACAACAATATCTCACGTATAGATTGTTGATGTTAGACACACGCAAGGTAAACAATTCGCACATGTCGATCTTAAGACTTCAGAAGCATTACAAAAAGCCATGTTATTAAATTCAACGGTAATTATGATGATGATGATTTATTTATTTATGATTTTTTTGTTGTTATAATATTTTAGAGAATGATGTTTTTAATAATAATTATTGTTATTAAATTTTTTATTTTACTTTCATTATAACATCTTTAAGATTAAAAATGTAACACAAGGCACGTTACGTGTTGAACCAGGAAAACCACGTATGAGCAACAACAACAACAACAACAACAACAACAACAACAACAACAACAACAACAACAACAACAACAACAACAATAATAACAACAACATCATCCCCACTAAATCAAATAATATCCCCACAAACGGTGCTCCTATTCAATTAAATAATAATAATAAGAACACTCACCCTAATAACAACAATCATATCAACAATCATATTAACAATCATATCAACAATCATATTAACAATCAAATCAACAATGCTAATAATTCAGGTAATTATAGTTTTATTTTATCAGAATGATATTCACATACCATTAAACATCACAAATGACCTTAATTATATTATATCATAATATATTTATAGTTGGTCAACGACCACCACCACCACCACCACCACAACAACAACAGCAGCAGCAACAACATATTAACAATAGTGGCAATAGATTTTACACTAATCGTCAAAATAACAATAACAACAACAATAATAGAAACAATACAAATGGTATTCAAACACAACAAAAATATATGAGCCCTACTAAATTTAATAATAGTCCTGGATTCCCTAATAATTATCGTAACAACAACAATGCTAATAATAATAATAATCATAATTATAATCACGTACATAATGGCATTAATAATCATCACATAAACAATGTATTAATAAATGGTATTAATAATAATAGTAATGACCATAAAATTACTACTGACAATAATATCACATCATCATCATCAATACCATCAAACAATATAATATCACCCAACTCAAATCAACAAGATCATAAAAACGTTAACGGAGTGGAATCTAATTAATTGGAGTGATTGATTAATCTATGTTGACCATGATTGATAATGTGGCGATGGTTAATTAATTAATTAGTAGATTGGTTGTTAGAAAACGAAATAATTTTTTTATTATAAATAAAAAAATCAAATAATCATTAGCATATTAGCATTTTATAATTAGTGTAGAATATTTTTAATATTATTATTTCATTAATTTATTTCTTTCATTTATTTTAGACTTTTATTTATATCTATATAATACATCGCAATATATCATAAATCACATACAAAAACATAATATTATTATTACTATTAAAAATATTAAAAATACTATTATCATTATTTTTTTTTAATAATTAAAGAAAAAAAAATCTACTTTTCATTACTTCTTTTCTCGAACAATCATATCAACGCATCACTGATGATAAAACTACCAGAGCAAAAACAGTGTTTTGTAATCCTTTGACTTGCTTTCCAAAGTGACAATAGCAAAATCGTTATCAATGAGGTTGCCAACTCGTTGCTAAATATTTTCTCCCTTTACTTTCTTGTAAAATGGAATAAAAAAAATCATTTGAAGGCATCTTTTATATTTCTGATAATGTATGTGTGCTGATTATCATTTGTAATATTTTCTCTTATCCAATCATGGAAATGGAGATCTCTGCTCTTCTCATTAACTTTCAGACATCTAAGCTTTAGTTGGTCGAGGAAATTTCTTGATTTCCCGCCTGTTACCTGCCCCTTTATTATACATACCCTGCTTATGGTACTAACTTTTTAATCAGATTATCTTTAGGCTAAAAAAGGTACCTTTTTTGTAGAGTTCAGAATCCTTTTTTCTTACAACTTTCGTAAGTTCATGGGAGTCTGAATTTTCTCTGTTTCTCCATCTCCCATCCTAAATTTTATCTTCATTCATTAAGAGATATAATTAATTGCTCAATCTTCTTTGGAGTCATTGTAAAGTGAGCCTTCTCCAGAATATTCTTTGATGGATCAGTTAGATCCTCTCTATAGTATAAAGTAAGGATGGTTTACGTGGTTGGATTACATCATCATAATTGGAAACGATTTTTAATTTTTTGTCTTTTTTTTTTGTTGATAGATTAGTTTGATAAGATTGCAAAAAGAGTAAATGTGATTTTATAAGCAAATACATTTCCTTTATAGTATTTGAATTGTACTTCCTTACAATGTTTTTTCTTTGGTTAATCCTCAAATAACACTTTCATCAGTCTTGTAAATTGCAACTATATATTTATTGAAATAATAATAATTATTAATCTAATCCTTGGTTAGTCATAATACTAATTTTATATACTCAATTAACAAACTTTCTTAGGATAATACTCGTATATTCACTACCATGAAACCTAAGATAAAGAAGTGATTGCATATGAGATTTCTGATTTTCTAGTTTTCAGTAACTTCTAAACACCAGGATCAGAAATTCATTTAACTCCTTAAAATATACTCCTAAACTTGATTTGATGTCCAAGTATTGAAAACCTTTTTCACCTTCATAGCATTGAGTTTATTCAATCCAGCAATACTAGGTCTTTTTATAATATTTACAACATGATTCATACAATCTACATTTGTCTTTCTATAGAATTTTTGATCAATCCAAAGCTACCATCACATTTGAATTTAGTACGGTGCAGATCATCTATAATCATTAGCTTATAGTAACTTCAAAATACTAAAACAAAAAAGAATTATATCATTTTAAAAAATTTAACCAATAAGTTTTATTGTTCATGACTCAAGCTTCACAACTTATCGGCTGGTTTTTTCTAAACTGAAAATTGGCAGAGCCTTAGCATTTTGAAAATTCCGAATTTGTTATACATTTAAGAAATTGAGACTAAGTAAATTTCGTGTAACACCTTTTTTTTTTCATTTACAACATACATTGATTTATTTGATTCTTTTTTTTATTAATAAATAAAAGTTCTTTACAACAAAAAAGTTTAACGAACATATGGGGCATGCTGCAACAAACCAGGTAAAGTGAACATTGGTATTATCAAGAATTTCAGGGATCAAAATTTAGTCATTTCATAATGTGATTATAATTATTAACAATTTTATAATATCCATTTGTTATCTTAAGTGATATATAGAACTACTCCTATAAAAATAGTTAATATGAAACTCATTTACATCAGATCTACCATGGAACCAAAGAATTACAGCACCATTAGAAGTATTCTGAAGAAAGAACAAAGTGAAAAAATTGCTCCTTACATTTTTAAATTAGCAGATACAAATCTTTGCAAACATATTTAGACAAAGAAAAGATTACCTATGAGATTTTATCAAGAAGAAAGAAAAATAAAAACATTAAAGAAAGAAAACAGAAATTTCAAACAATTATTTAATAAAAAGACTAAACTGAATCAAATTTTTCATTCAGTGAAATGGTCATGGAAATTCATGAATTACTTGGAGAGAGAAAAGGTGGTGCTGCTTCCACAAAAAAAACTTTTACCAATGAAAAACAAACCCTAGAAGGAAAACAATAGATGCAATTAAGGAGTGGGTTGATAAAGAAAAAAAGAAAGTGATGGAGAGGGAAAATGAAGAAGATAACAAAAATGAAGAAGATAACAAAAATAACAAAAATATAAATATTAATAATAGTATTATTGATAATAATAGCAGTAGTAATAGTGAAAGTTGAATTTTTGTTGGAGTGCCCAAAGAATAGGTAATACTTATAAATGGCTTTGGGACCAAATGTTTTCCACCCATGCAAGTACTCTGATAATTATTTAACTTATATTTTTATAAATTATTTATGTATTTTTTATTATTAGTTGAGTTAAAATAAAAATAATTTTAAATCATTGTACATAAAAATAAATTCCAAGTCATGTGCCCACTAATTTAACATTAGTCCAAATTATTTATAGATCAATAAAAAAATTTTAATCTTAAATTTTCTTTAATTCAAAATAATGGCAACATATGAAAAAATAGAAAAAGAATTAAATGATGCAAAAAGAGAACATGAAGAGGCAAAAGGTGAATTGAAGAAGTTTGAAGAAGGGAAGGATGATGTAATGTGGTTGAAGGAGTTAAGGGGAAAGGCGAAAAGGGAAGAGCTTACTGAAAGGAAGGAGAAGCATCTGAGGAGACTGGAGGAAGAAGAGAAGATGTTGAAAAAAAATGTGAACAATTGGGGAGAGCAGGTGCGGAAATTGCAAAATAAACTTTCAGAATTCGGAGAAAAGATAACAAACAAATTGTGTAAAAAAAAATTATTTTCCATTCATTCCATTTTGTTTATTTATTCACTTGTATACCATTTGAACATTGACTAACATCTATTCATTTTGTTTATTGATTTATTTGTCTGTGGAATATTTGAACTACTGTTTACAATTTCAACTTAAAAAAAATTTTTTTTCTTTGGTCATTTATTATTCCATTGGTGATATATTATTTACAACAATTTTTTTAATACTTTTTTTATATTATCAATGACTTTTGTGATTTGTTCTTTTCTTATTTTGTAAAGGTGCCTTGCAACCAAGTCAGGAACTTATTGAGAAAATGGGGGATATTCAGAGAGATTGACAAAAGTAGAAAATGAACTGGTTGCTGATAAGTCAATAATTATCTCAGATAAAAACTGTACAAATGACAGCAATTGCTAATTCACTAAAATTAAAATTTCAACTTGTAAAAACAAACATTAAATCACCAGATATAGATATTCCACCATATCAATGGAATTCACTAAATGAAGATAAACAAATTAATTGGTGTTTGCAGTATTTTAATAATATTACAAATCTTCCTGAATCATTGGTATATTATGACGCATGTTCAAAGCAATCTTTCTTATCTTTTACTAAACAAAATGGCTACCATTCAATATCAAAGGAACAACTGATATTGTAGTACTGGAAAAAGGTTGGGACAAAGCACTTGGTCAAGAGGCAATGGGGACACATGTGGTGATTGAATTGAAAAAAACCAGCCAAAGTAAATAAAGCAGCAAGACTTCAGACTGAGGCCCAACTTTTGGTTGCTAACTTCTGGTCCAATTATGATGTTCTGGCACTATTGACTGACTTAAATGACTATTGGGAGTATTTTTGGTTAGATGGAAATGATGTATGTTTTTGGAAAATCGAAGAAAGAGCCAAAGCAGTTGCCATATTAAAAGACTATGTAAATGTTGTTGGAGTTAATGATATTGGTAGAATTGGTAGTGAAGTGGGAATGTCCATTGATTATCCCATTGGCAAAAGAAGAAAGCTTGATACTAACGAGCTAGTCACTGTTCCATCATCAGATATTGCAAACATGGAAGACTTTGCTGATGAAATGTCAGAGATAGAGTTGAAGCAGTGGAGAGTCCGATGTCTTATGAGAAAATTTTTCTCAATGCCATATCCTCAAACAGTCCTTGCTGAAGTTATTGAAGATGATAAATTTCCATCACATATAAAATAATTATGAAGCATCACATGTCACGAATACAAATAAATGAATAATGATAAAAATTTTTGTTCAGGAAGAAATGTAACTTTTTCTAAAAATTTTTAAAAATTTTAATAATCATGAAATTAATAACAAAATCAAATATGATATTTCAAAGCATTTTCTACATTTATTCAATTATTTTTGCTGAATCAATGCCTTTTTTTATGGGTGTGTAATTGATAATAAAATACTAACAATAATAATGAATTTTTAAGAATGACCATAAATTAATAAATAGCATGTATATTCATCAGAACTGAGTAGATCATAAATTAAATGATCCATACCCATGTTTGGTTCAAATTGAACTGTTTCATTTAAACTTTATTATCAAATAATAAATCAAATAATTAAAATATCACTACATGAAAATTGGTGTTATACATTTTCTTGATATAGCAGATTGTTGATCTGAATTTCAGTTGATGAAAGATTTAATAATGATTCAGCCTGTTAAATATTTTGCAAAAGTATTAAATATTTTACCTTCCTGAGAATTAGTTACTGTAATAGGTTTTATTAAATGTACATATTGTGAATGGTTGAGTTATGTCTGTGTTTATTTGTTTATTTATGTTGTGTTAATTTCTCAAACTAACTGAAATTTCTAAAATTCCTCTTGTATGAATTGGAATAATATTTATATTCCCCTAATACTAATTTGTTAAATTACTTATAGCTAATTGCATATCTAATAAATAAGCATGTACTTATTGTAAAAATCTACAAAGTGGACATAAAATTATATATAGGGATAAATGTATATGAAAAGTAATAATGAAATAATAATCATAATGGTTCTAATGAATATAAAAAAGCAATTGATTTTTTAGAAAAAGGTTGTAAATGTGGTTGCTTTCCAGAATTCCCAAGGAAGAATTTGCAGAATTACAGGAATCCTTTCAAGCTCTTTCCAAGTCTGAACAAGACATATTTTTGATGGCCCAACTTAAAGCCATGGATGGTGGATCAATAAGTACTAGTAGAAGACTTAAAAAGAAAACCAGATCTAATAAAAGAACTTTCTATCATTGGGATCACAACACACTTCTTTGTCAAGAAACTTATCTTAATATGTTAGGAATTGGTAGAACTTATTTTGAAAATATTAGAAACCATCTAATAAGCAATGGTCTTCTGCCAAGAATTCATGGCAATATTAAAAAATGCCTCAATGGAAAACTAAGATGGTGATTGATAAAAATATTGCAGAAGTGGTAAAGAACTTTTTAGAAAATTATGCAGAAGTTTATGGATTACCAAGTCCAGGAAGAAGTATCAATAGAATAACTCAATCAATTGTATTCTTACCAGCTGAAATAAGTTATAAATCTGTGCATAGAGATTTTCTGGCTGGTCTGGAAGAAAATAGTGATTTGAAATCCTTGAAATATGATGCCTTTAGAAAATTATGACATCAATTGACACCAGAAATTCAAATTATGAGTCCAAGAACTGATTTGTGTGATACTTGTCAACATTTTAGAGATGGTTTACATTACAATGCTTGCCAAGAAGAAGCTAAAGATTTACTCAAAAGATTTAAGGAGCATTTGTCCAAGGCAAGATTAGAAGAAATTATTACAATAAAAACACCAAATTAGCAGAAGAACAAAGAAAATTGGTTAATCAAAATTATTCCAAGGATAAAACACAATATTGTATTGTTGATGCCACTGCCCATTATAGTTATGATTGAGCCCAAAATGTGCATGTGCCCCATTCAGATCAACAAGTAAGTAAAATCTATTATCTTAGTCCATGTAAAGTTCATTTATTTGGTATTCAAGATGAAGCAACAAGGGAGCAAATTAATTATGTTCTTAATGAGGATGAAATTATAGGTAAAGGACCCAATGGAACTCTTAGCATGATTTTTGATGGAATTAAGAAATTGAATTAAGGTGAAAAACATTTAAAGATTACTTGTGATAATGCTGGGGGACAAAATAAAAATAATGTGACTATTTGATTTTATTTATATTTGGTAATTTGTGGCTATTATGAAAGTGTTGAATTGAATTTCATGATTGCTGGACACACTAAATTTAAATGTGATGGTAGTTTTGGATTGATTAAAAAAATCTACAGAAGAACAAGAGTAGATTGTCTGGATCATGTGGTTGAGATAATAAAAAAGTCTACTCCAGCAGGATTGAATAAATCTCAATGTTATGAAGGTGGAAAAGGTTTTCAATACTTAGATATTAAAGCTATTTTGGGAATTTATTTTAAGAAACTACCAAGTATATAAAAATGTCAACATTTTCTTTTTGAAGCAATTAATTTTGGTGTGGTCAAAGCTCAGGAAATCTTTTCGTTCATAGATAAATATCGTCTGGAAAAAACATCTAGTAAATTCAGAAGCAAAAAAGGAAGAAAATTGGTTACTGGCGAAGTTTCAGAAGCTGTATAACGTTTCGTGTAACAACAAACTTCCACTATGCTAAAAACATGTGATACTAAAATTACTAAAAATTACTTTTTTTTTTGTGATGATACCATTTCAGTGCTTAACTGTTGAAGGAAAATCTATTTGGGAAAAGGCAATTGATTGCGAAAAAAGAAAAGTAATATTGATATATGTAATAAAAATTATCATTGATAAAATTTTGTAAATAACAATTACAAAAATTTTTTTTAAGTCAATAATTTATTCTTGGGAATCAATTGGAAAAATCAAAGAATTTCAAACTCCTTCATCAAAATATTTAACAGAATCAGATATTTATACATTTGAAACCATTATCTTTAAACATTTTCATGATCAATTTTCAAATTATGGATTAGGAAACACCAAATCATATAATAATTTGATCAAAGTAAGTTGGATTAAGTGGGATGGATTTGGAGGATCAATTAGAAGAATATTAATAAATTTTATTTATCTAATATTAGGATTTAATAAATTTAATGTTAGGAATTCCTTCAGAAACATTTATTTATGACAAAGGATTAAAAAAATTTGTTAACAAAATACCTGACATTAGAAGTGAAGGTTATAGTGCTAAAAGTATGAAAATGTAAGTTATAAATCTTATTATTAGCATTAAGATTTGAATATTTGTTTCATTTATTCATTTTAATCAATATATATTTTCTTTTAAAAAAGGATTTTATTAAGATTTTCAAACATCGGAACACATATAAAAAGATTAGAAAATGTCGCAGAAAAATGTATCAATAATCCACAGTAGGTTGACATTAAAAAAAATTTTTTTACCAAATCAATTTTAAAATCAATTAATTAAACATTATTTAATAATATATTTAGTTTTTATGGTTTGACTGGTGTGGCTTTTGGGAGAAGCCTTGATTGTTTCACTTCTTTTATAAGAACTTCAATTCTTGTTAGGATAGAAAAATCTATAATAAATGATGATCAAATCAAAATCATTCAATTATATCATTTAATGGATGAAACTTCAATCATACTTGAAATAATTGCCAGATTCTGTAAATGTGTATGCTACATTATTATTTTAATGTTATTATTTTAAGGTTAATAATAATAATATTATTATTTATATTTTTTGTAGGATGTATCTGAACAACATCTTTTATTATTACCCGAAATTCAACAAGAACAATGGATGGATCAAGGATTCTATTTACCATTTGGAAATGATATTCTATCAGAAATCTATAATTTTATAGAATTAATTGATATATCTGGATCATTGTTTCTGAAATCAGTTTTTCTTGCATTCTTAGAACAATCTAGTTGTCCCTTCTTTGAAATGTTAAGTTCTTGGTTAGGTATAAATACAAGTTCAAATGATAACATCAATAATGATAATGACAATAATAACTATTCTTTGTTAAGTGAAATTCTTGGTGATCAATATTGTGACCCATATGGTGAATTTTTCATTGAAGTCAAATCTTGTGTTGTTCAAGATGAAAAATATTGGGAAACTGGAACAAATGTAAAGTTATAATTATAATTACATAATAATATATATATTTTTAATTAATTTCTCATCACACATAATATATATAAAATTTAAGATGAATAGAAATCATTCATTGCCAATTTTCATTGATTCTGATGTTGCAAGAGATATTGTAGAAGCTGGGAAATCACTTAGACTTTTACGAGATTGTTACCCAAATCATGCTTTATGTTATCTTGGAATGAAAGCTCATGATCAAAAAAGCAACACAACTTCATCAACATTATGGAGTGTCAATTTGAAATGGATTTTTACACAAGGAGAAATTGACGAGTAGGTGAAAGTCTATAATTATATGATTTTTAATAGTTTTTTCTTTCAATAAATATTATAACATTATAATTATTCAACTATTTTTTAATAAACAAAAAGTATGCATGATCATCTTCGAAACTACTTGAAAGATAAGACTTTTGAAATCCTTGCTCAACAAAAACAGAGAAAGATTGATCATCTTCCAATTAATAAAACTAATAGCTTATTTCAGAAGCAGCAACTAAATCAACAACAGCATCATAATCACCACCAGTGTCATTTCAATTCTAATTCTAATCCTATCAATCACTCAAAAGTAGAAAAAAAGGGTTCAAATAATTATACAAGCAAAACATTAGTATTTGACATAATCTCAAACAAAGAAAATCCAACAATAACCTTAATAGAGCATTTTATTGAAACTCAATCATCTCAAAAATCCTATAAACAATACGTTCCTCCTTTAGGCGTGATAAAAGATCTTGTTATAAGACACACTCTTTTATCCTATTGTCAATTGTTAAATTCTTCAATTCTTTCTGTATTTTTTCAAGAATATAATCTTTGCGCTCATTTTAAAGTTTTAAAAGACTTTATGCTCATGGGGAATGGTAAATTTGTTCAAGGATTGAATGATGCTCTTTTTAGTGATAATGTTGATTACGGTGAAAAATTTTATGACACCAATTATTCATCATTACTACAATCTCCAATTAATGCATGGGCCAAGGTTAATAACCTGGACGATTTACTTATGTTTTCCATAAAAAAATCAGATGATTATGAATCATGCAATGATCCTCATGGTAAGCTGCATCATTAACTTTACACACATACACATATATATTTGTTCTAGTATCAAAATTAATCGTATATATCATTTAATAGTAGAGGCTCTTGACTTCCTTCAACTGGAATATAAACCGCCATATCCAGTCAACATCATAATATCTTCAAACGTGCTCGACAACTATTATAAAAAGATTTTCACACTTTTATTACGTATTTTACGTATGGGATCCGTTGTACGACATATTTTTAAATTATCTCATAATCGCTACTTATATTACGACAATGCCAATAATGATTACAATGATAGCAAGTTGATTCATATTTTTTGTTTCCGATCACAACAATTTATTGCCGCTTTAAATGGCTATGTTTTTGACATTGTTATTTCTTCCACATGGTCAACTTTAATGAAAAGATTGAATAAAATTGCAAAAGCATCAAAATTTGAGTCACCACAATCGCCACAATCACATAAAGAATTTTGTGAAAACGATAACATGGATATTGATGCCAATAATGAAGAATTAACATCAAAAATTAATCCTGATTCTGATATATACGTTAACAATAATGACGATGACGATGACGATGACGACGATAATGGTGTCAGCAGCATTGGTAACAGTGAATATGCTATTAAAGATCTTGAATCATTACGTTCATACCATGAACATATTTTAGATTGTATATTATTTCAATGTTTTCTTAAAGAGGATCAAGAACATATAATAAAAGATTTAAATGAAATCCTATCAGTCATTTTATCATTTGCTAGAACGTTACGACATAGAAGGTTTCGTAATTACAGTGAACAACAGAAACAAGAATATTGGAGCACAATTAACTCTTTATATGAAAAATTTATATTATATACATCGAATTTTGTAAATACATTAAAGTCATTGGATGAAAAAGGTAAAAAACTGATAATAAATATTAATAATAATTTATCTCTTAACTTATTTATAAAATTAATTCTAATATTATTAGGAACTAGATACTCGGATTTTTATTTTCAATTACTTGTCAGTAAAATTGCTAGAAATTAATTATTTCCAAATTTGCAAATTTAATGAAAATAATATTAAATAAGATTTCAATTCAATAACAATAAAAATAATAAATAAATTCATATTGTTAACAAACAGTTCTATGTGTTGAGGTTTTTACTTGAAAAATGATTGAATTGATGAATTAATGAATTAATGAATGAATTAATGAATGTATTTATCATAGGAGTATCTAATTTATTCTATGAGTATAAACAAATAGGATTATACGTGTGTAGGTGTACATTTTATTAAGCTTGGGTAAAGTAGTTTTGTGCAGTTTTAACCTTTTCACGGACATCTAAATTCTCATCAGTAGCCATATTTTTTACTTTTTCATCAAATCCTAACTGGCGTAATTTTTGTATTCGTGGTATGGAACCTGTATTATCATAAAATTGAAAAAAAAATTGTATATATACATTATATATAAATCGATAAATCGGTTCAATTGTACTAATCAATTCAACTATTTACAATTCTGATTGTCCTCCATTCGCATCAAATTAATGAGACATAAAACAGTTACTACACGTATATCAGGATTGTTATGTTCCATAAAACATAAAACGCGTTTTAATATCGTAGGCCTTTCCATAATAGATGATCTGTGTCGTTCACTACCAGTTGCAATGTGACTAATAACAAATAATATCTGCAAGATCATTATAATTCGCAATGGTTATTTACAAATCACAAATAAGCTTATTCATTTAATTATTTATTAAAAAAAAACCTGTTTAATGATCTCTTCACTGTCCGAACATAATTTGTTTTCTATAATATTCATTAACTGGGTTTCACCCAATCCTTTAAACGCTTCTTCAATATCCTAAATAATATGCCAGTTAAATGTTATTCATTTAATATCAACAATTAAAGTAGAATCATTTACATAAATCCTTGAACACGCCAGATTCCTTAAAAGATTTAGTGCTTGTTCTTGTATGTCAACTTCTGGATCGGAAATTAATCTAAATCACAATAAGGAATACATACATGCATACATAAATATAATATAGATATTTTGTCTCGTAAAAATCGATTTATTTTAAAAATTACTTACGCTTCCATTTTTGTATATGTTAAAGCCTTCATGACCGCATCTTTAATTTCTGATTCACAATGATAAACTAAATTTTTTAATGCCCATACTGCATTGAGTCTTAACGTATTGTCAGGTGAATGTGCAAGTTCGACAAGTTTTTCTATTGCACCTTGCTCCAAAACTATCTGATAATAAATAATTAAATAAATTTTAGTAATTATTTAATTGTTTATTCTAAATAATTATATGATTTATGTACTACTTTTTTCATCGGAGAAAATTCCAACACTATATTACAAAGGGTAGCACATGCAGTTGTCTGTACGTCTGTAGATTCATCTGATAATAACTTTTATTTATCAAGAACATGTCAGTAAGATATTTTTCTTTTGATATGTTTTTGGTTTTTAGATAATAAAATAAAATACGTTAGTGCGAGGGTTGACTTACTTTAAACAATGGTGTGGCAATCCCCGCATCCACAAGACTAGTTCGTAACATGCTGATAGACCTAGATAGACTTCTTGCACATTGACATGCTGCAGCGCGAATCCCATAAGAATGATGTGACATGGCTGTTATAATATGTGGAATAATTTTTGCTTCGACTACCTGAAAAATGTCAAATCACAATTAAAAATTTATTCAAAATATTACTGAAAATTCAAGTTCTATGTATGCATATACAAATAAATATATATTATTTACCAATTTACGTCCATCATCTGATAATATGCTTATAGCTGCAAGAGCCATTAGAGCATTCTATATTTTGAGTACACTTAATATTAAATATTTAAAAAGGTATTTAACCTATATATGTATATGTGTATATATATATATATATATACCTCTTTTAACTTATCGCCATCATTAACGGAATCATAATACGAATGATCTTTGTCAGAAAAAGGTATAATAAAATTTGCTAGTTTTGAAACTGCATCACAATCGCACGCTGCCTTTTGTAATTTTTCACTATCACGTATTAAACATGCTAAATTAAAAAAATTAATAATATTATCCATAAAAGTCTTGAAGTCTTAAAAATTTTTTTAATAAGTTAATTAATTATTACCTAAAACATGAGGTGCTTCTTCACGAACCGAAGTTTTCTCGTCAAGTAACTTGACTAAAGTTGGTAAGACTGTTGAAATTATATCATTAGAATATTCAATTATAGTGTTTGTACGATTTAAATGTGTTATGCTGATTAGTTAATTGTTTAATAATTATAATCATATGATTACCGGTTAGTTCAAAGTTGATGAGTTAATAATAATTGACTGTTTTTATCGAAACAAAATTGAATTTACCATTTTGCAGATGTCAATCGCATTGTTGGTGATTTGTCACCGACTAATTTCAACATTATTCTTACAGGGGCTTCATTTCTTTCGGCTATTTGATTTATGAAATAATTAAAAAATAATAAATTTCATGCATTAAAAGTACTAAAAAGTTAACGTTTAAATTTTACTTTTAGCTTCAACTATGTTTTTGCAGAATTCGGGATTTTCTCTACAAAGGTATGCAAGCGCATCCAAAGCTGCTTCTTGTGCTTTAGGAATGGAACAAGTTAATAGATTTATCAAAGGTCGTAAAGCATTTGCATTTGCAATTTGATTTTGTTGTTCATTGGTATCACAACAACGTGCAATTATTGTTGCTGCCAATTCAGCAGTATGTATTGCGGCAACCTTCTCACGATCTGTTTTTGGATTAAGTGAGTCGGGATTAAGAAGTGCAATAAGGTTATTTAAATAACAGTCCTATTTTTTTATTTTTTTTATTTTTTAGAAAAAAAATGAAATAATGATTAGTTTTTATTCAAATAGTAGAGTGATTAATTAATAAAAAAAACCATCTAAAAACCTGAAAAATGTCATTTTTATCCGCCACAGGACTTTTATAAATTACTTTTAATGTTCTAGCAGCAGCTTCAATTAGTCGTGGATCTTTTTGTAAAGATAAACAATCCAATAATGGTTTAACAGCATCATGCTTAATTAACTCTGACACATTCTCCTCGCCTCCTTATTATTATTTATAAATAAAAAAATTTTAATATCAAAGATCTATTAGAAAAAATAAATTACAAGTAACGTAACCTCACTAAAATAATTTACCGTATGCAAAACTTCCTAAAACAATAACTGCTTGTATTTGAATTTGAGGATCGGTGGTTTTAAATTCAAAAAATTTGACAAGCCTAAATTTTTTAAATAATGGTATAATTATCAAAATAAAAAACTTTTTTTTTTAAAACCAATAGTAAAATTACAAACTTTGAAATGACATTAAGACGAATATATAAATCTTTTTTTGTTTTGTTTCCAATGATTTTATTTTTAATAAATCGTAAAGCCTTAATTCTTACTAAAGGATCTAGTGAACTCAATTCTACGACAGCTTGTTCATGTCTTGTTGAATTCATCATAAAATTTTGGTTGTTTTTTTTTTGATCTCGAGTTGGTAATAAAAATTTTTTCTAAATAAATAAAAATTAAAATAGTTGTAATTTTGTGGCTTAAAATTATTTCTCAAAGGTTGGATTTAAAATGTTTATAAATTTACTTTCACATTCTACAAAGCTATCAAATTTTAACAATAAAAGGCTTCTGATTCGTTATTTTAATACTGATTTTTTGAACTTGAAACAAGTAACTCCAATTTCCACCGAGCTAAAAAAGTTTAAAACAACACCTCTTTTCATTAACGGGGAATTAATAGAGTCGAAAACAACCAAATGGAATCCGATTTATAATCCAGTACGGAATAATGACAATAATAAATTAATAAATTAATTTTATGTTGAATATTCAATAAATTGTTCAATTAGAACGTGTAATTAATAAGATTTAATTACCTTTGAAGGCGACAAATGAAATTATTACTAGTGTCCCAGAGGCTACCCAAGAAGAATTAAAAGCCTCAGTAGAATCAGCAGCTGAAGCTTTTAAAACATGGAAGAATTCATCAATACTTACAAGACAACGCGTCATGTTAGATCTTCAATTTTTAATTCGAGAGCATACCGACGAAATTGCTAAGTCAATTACTGAAGAACAAGGAAAAACATTTTCTGATGCAAAAGGGGATGTGTTAAGAGGACAACAAATAGTTGAGAATGCTTGCGGTATAACTAACTTATTGTTAGGTGAAATTTTAGAAGTTTCAACGGATATGGATACTTTTACCATTCGTGAACCTTTAGGTGTAACTGCTGGAATATGTCCTTTTAATTTTCCTGCCATGATTCCATTGTGGATGTTTCCTTTATCAATTGTTTGTGGAAATACAATGGTAATTAAACCATCAGAACGTGATCCTGGTGCTATGATAATTCTTGCTAAATTAGCAAAACTAGCTGGCGTTCCCGACGGTGTTCTCAACGTTGTTCATGGCTCAACTGACGTAGTAAATTTCCTTTGTGACAATAAACATATTAAAGCAATTTCTTTTGTTGGAAGCAATAAAGGTAAAGAAATTTTTTCGCAACATTTATAAAATTTATTTGGTAAAAATTTATTATATTTTTAGCTGGCGAATATATACATCGACGTGGAACCTCCAATGGAAAGAGAGTTCAAGTTTGTTGACTTTAATTATTCTCGTGGTTTTTCATGAAAAAAATATTATTTATATATATATGTGTGTGTTGTGGTATTTTTATAAAATAGGCAAATTTGGGTGCAAAAAATCATGGTGTAATTATGCCTGATGCGAATAAGGTTTGATTATCTTTTACAATAAACTAGGATAAAGCATATTGATATTACTAACACTTTTACTATTTGTAATTGTAGAATCATGCTCTTAATCAACTTACAGGAGCAGCCTTCGGTGGAAGTGGTATGCGCTGCATGGCTTTGTCTACCATGGTATTTGTTGGTAAATCAAAAGAATGGTTGCCAGAACTTGTTGAACGAGCAAGAAAACTAAAAGTTTCGGGTGGATTCGAGCCAGATGTTGATCTTGGACCATTAATAACGCGTCAAGCAAAGGAACGAGTTGAAAAATTAATACAGTCAGGGGTTGATCAAGGCGCTGAATTGTTATTAGATGGCCGTAATC